TTGGTCCCCTAAATTAAACAAAAATATGGACAGTTTGAACCCACTGTCGCGATGAGATGTCATGTCCGGAAACAAAACCCTATGGAACTTTCCGAAGCCAAATGACGCCACAGTGAGCGCGTTCACTGAAGTGCCTAGGGTGAGTGTCTTACAGTGCTCGCAACTGCATGAGGTCATATGAGCGCGCGGGACACATTAAACATTTTCAGTTGGTTGGAAATTTCAAATTTTGCCCGGGTGGTGGCTTAAGTCTACTCTTATCGATTTTGGACCACCAAGGGATCTTTAACGTGCGAAACTTGCACTCAGAACTTCTGAGAATTTCCTCCGTCATGCGAAAGGCAAGATGTTAGATCTTACATACCCTAAGATCAGGGGTGTGGTTGAAAGACAGCAGGAAGGAGCCAATTTTAGCAGTAGAAAACCTGCAGAAAGAGCCAGGAGCCCAAAGGAGGGGGCAAAGGAGGCGAGGGGGTGGGGCAGAAAGTGGAGAACAAAGCAGACGACAGAACGTTGTCAGAGAGCAAGAAAGGAGGTGAAAGGGGGCAATTTTGGCTAGGAAACTTTTCCGTTGCTGTCCGGATTCGAAACCGAGGCCTATTGAACGAGAGGCGATCACCATAACCTCTGGACCAGGAGGCCCCCTGACTTCTGTCCGCGGACATATTTATTGTGGCACCACGACTGCTTTTTTCCCCAACAGGATATCCACTTGGTGGTTGCTTGACAATCTTTCACACACACGTCTTTACGAGCTAGGCCTAGGTCCAAATCAAAAGCTTTTCTCCGATTTGTGCCTCCCCGCCCACCCTCCTCCCTATCCTTGCCGTGTAGATTTCAGGCAATATGGATAGATCTAGAGTGGTGTAGTGTGTCCAAAGCGAATACAATGCAATATGTAATGCAGAAGAGGACAATTAAACTAACACATTACTTTGTAATTCAGCATCAAATTTCGCTCCCCGTGTAAATCAAACTTTTACTTTTTTTCTTTATTTGTAATTTAGGATTAATGCAATCCGCCAATCGGGAGCAGAAACACAGGCAGATTCATCGACTATCCAGCTGTTAAACCCTCTTTGGAAATATCTCAAACAGGAATTATTGAACGCACACCAGCGATAAAAAAGGGGACTCTTTATTTGTTTTAAATGGAATGAGAATACTGGATACATGGATGACAAACAGATGAAACATGAAGGTAAAACAACAAATTATGTAAATAACAACAAATCATTTTGTATTGTCCAACAAGTTACTGTATCACTATGTCCCAAATTGCCTCTTCCGCATAGGTGGCACTAGAGTAGATAGGGTGAATGCCCTTTTGCCCTTTGAATCCAACGAGGGCAAACACTCACAATAAAATACCAAAGAGATTTTTTTTAAAAACCAACCTTCGACGACATAATATTAATCAAATCAAAGTAAGTACCGATATATCCACACACTATCTGCCTCTGGAAGATGAAAGCACACTGCCTTATTTTCTTACAAAAATACTAAAACAAGCAAACAAAACAGTCTTGAACAACAACAGAATACACAACTAATCCTAAGATTATATTCCGGTGTCGATGAATGCAACTTTTCTTGACACAGTTATAGCCCTCTGAGACTGTCTCCTTCGTCGACTTCCTCACACTGAGGCTGGGTTGGCGGCTGGCTCCGTCTCCGTGTAGTTGTTGTTAGTGACTTGTTTCTGCGGACAACAGTGGGCGGGGTGTAAGTGACAACCATTATCTATGTATTCACACACACACACACACACATACACACACACACACACACACACACACA